GGGTCAATAATTCAACCAGAGTTTCTTCATCAGGGGCTTTGACCACCACTTTGGGCTGGCCACAGTATTCCCACTGTTGGAGTAATTCGGGGTTTCTCCTTTGAATTTGCTTGTAGGCAGAAACAGCAGCATGAGAGCACTGGGCAGCCACCTTCCCTTTTCCCATCTTTAAGTCACTTCGAACCACAAGGATCATTTTGTACTCCCCACTCTCTCCTAAGATGCTTGCTTCAGTTCCAGTGTCGGTGTCTGTCTCACCCACTGAGCTCCTGGGGGTCATCCCAAAGCGTGCTCGGAGGCCCCAGCCCAGGCACATGCCACAAGCAACTCCAGCAGCCAAACTGAGTGCACCAGGATGAGCCAAATACTCCATAACCAAGGATTTGGAGATCATCTTAAAGGAAAAGAAAAAAGTTACCACTATCTAGCAGTGGAAAGTTAGAGGCTTATCAGATAAAACACACAATATATAAGCAGCAATATTTTAGTTCATCCAGAAAAAAAGGCAAAATATGTTTTGGGTCTGAGGCATGTATTGATTTTTTTTCTCCCCTATGTATCAGAAAAGATTCAAGAATACAGATAAAGCAGTTTAGGTCATTTTGAATCTCTGTGAGGAGGACATCTCTCTTTCTTGGACACAACAAAGCTCTGTTCCTCAGTCTTCCCTAAGTCTTATGGAGAAAGGAAATGTTCTGTTTTACCAAGATGCCGAAAGGATATAGATATGAAGAAACCAAGAGTAACTAACTCACCCTCTTCGGGAATATAGTGCTTATTGTGTCTTCATAATGCAGCAGTTCTCAACAGGGATGGTACCAATCCCTTAGAGAAGTTCCTGGTTGTCACAGCAATGGGCCCGGAGTGAGGTGCACCGCTGACATTTACTAGACCTTGGCGTGGAATGTTAAAAGCCGTACAAGTGAAAATCTGTCTCACTGGACATGACTGTAGGCGAAAAACTATTATACCTAAAACTAGAACCCGACTTCATTTTGTGTATGAACACAAAGTTTTTTTTTTCGTGGTTTTAACGCACACTGAATTTACCAGTAGTGTAACTATCATAGGAAACAAAGGAAGATTATCCTTTTTCATTTTAGAAATTCCTGTCACCCCAGCAGAGCTGCTCATATTTGAATCATCAACAATAAAACACCTATATCAGCCTACATTTGAGTCTGTTGGATTCATACTTACGTGTATAGGCACAACCACCATCAGCTTCTTCTAGCAGAACAGTATCTAAGCATTTATACATTTGAGATACATGAGGACACCATGTTTCTAGTGCTTATAAGTAGTGCCCTTGGAATTGTGCAGTGCATAATCTGCATGGTATAGACAGCAGTTGTAGAAATACATATTTTATCATAAATTCCCTTTTTATAGTCATTTAAGTTAAAATTAGGACATTATATTAATGTTTCTGAAAGAAAGAATGTGTTGGGTCTGGTAGGGTGAGAACCACTGCTCTAAGTGCCTATGACTCAAGTCTCTAATTCAGAAACAAAATCTCCAATGCCTTTGCAAATAGATTTTCATATAAGTCACGGCTGTCTCCAGATCTACACGGATTAGGAGGATTAGGAGAGAAACTGGGCCAACAGACCTTCAGTAATTGTTAAAAAATGATAAATTACACTCTATCTGAAGAAAAAGAAAATGTCTATATAAGTTTGTGTCCAAATTATAAAAGTAGAATTAACACATTACTGCTGTGCTATGTATCTTGCTTTTTAAGGCTAGATCTAGGTCAAAGTACAGTTAATAAACAAGTGAAACAACCCAACATCCCTTACACTTGCAATCTCAAATTCAAACCTTGCCCTCCCCTCAACAAAACTAATTTCCCTGAAACTGCTACGTAATCTTATAAAACCTGTAGCTACTGCCCCTTCCTTGGAGTCCATTAGAATCCTTTACTATTCAGATACTTTCTGAAACACCTACCAAAAACCCCTCTGCATTTTTAGCTTATGCACCCCTTTCTCTAGTTGGAGTTCTTTCTGAAGCTACCGTCTTTAAAGCCCAACTTTTACAGATAACGGAGGCAAGAATACCAGGACAATGTGGTGAGCAACATATTTCCAGAAGTTCAGAGCATTCTAAGACACTCTTTTATCCTTAGGATGTTCTAATCTCCTATCAGCTTGATCTGATTATCATCTAACTCCTCTAAAAGGTGTTTCAGCCTGTCCCCTTCTCCGTGTATCTCTTATAAATATGTATCAGTAAACCCAGTGTTTGAGACTAAGGTAAAATAACTACTCTTAGTCTCATTGATAATCCCAAGCAAAACAAACAGGTCCTATGAAACCCTCCTCTTGGTGCCTTCCAATTCCTCTGCCAGATTAAACCCCTTTCACAAATGCTCCTGATCCCATTACCTCTAGAACCATCCTCCACCCATTAATCATGTTTCACTGGCTATTGCCCCTTGGCCTTTTCCAACCTAAAACAAAACAAAACAAACCAAACCAAACCAAACCAAACCAAACCTTCCTGAATCCTCTTTGACCCTTAAATCACTGTCTCACTTTTCCTCTAAACTTCTTCAGTTACCTGCCTCCCTTCCTCACTCAACTGAAATTCCTAAGGAATCAGAAACTAGCCAACTGCCAAATGAGGTCTCTTTAGTTTTTGGCACCACTCATTGGTAACTTTTCCTTAACTTTCTTCCCTTGAATTCCTTAACTCAATTTTCACCCTATTATCATCCTACCTTTCTGACAGCTTTTTTCCATAGTCTTTCTCTGGCTATACATCCTCTGTTTGCCCCTGATTTATCTATCACCCAAGCTTAAACATTAGCCCTCAGTCTGTACGTATGTCGTCCTATGTAGCAACCATTAGCCAAATGTTATTTAAACTTAAATTAATTACGGCCAAATTTTAAAATTCAGTTATTCTGTTGCACTTAGCCACATTTCAAGTGCTCAATAGCTCAACAACTTAAAAGTGGCTAGGTGCTGTTCCATCAGTCAGTGAGACAGAGAACATTTCCATGACTTTCATGGCAGAAAGTTCTACTGGACAGGGCTGGTCTATATAATCTCTTTCCATTCAATCAATCAATCAATATCTACTGAGGGCCTACTGTGCACTGTTCTGGACCCTGGAGATAAAGCACTGAGCAAAACAAAGTCCCACTGTTCATGGAGCTAACATTCTAGTAGGAGGAGACAGACAATAGTTTGTCAGATGAACAATCTCATTTATTCCTGAACCATCATATGCTGAGGAATCCTAAAGCCTCTCCCAGGCTCCACGCCTGAACTTTCAGCTTCTGCTATATCTCATCGCTTAGATGAATATGAAGTAGCCTGAACTGTGTCCTAAACTGAACTCAGTATTTTCCCTTCCATCTCAGACTTCCTGTAATCTTTCCACATTTGGTTCACTTGTGCTTTAGATCACCCTAGTCCATCTGACGTTGTAATTAATTGCGCTTCTAAAGCACAAATCTCATCCTGTAACTTCTCTGCTCAAAAATCACTGGATAAATGCGTAAGGTATAACGAAACTGAGTTCCCCTAAAACTGAGTCCTCTTATTGGGTTTATAATTAGTTTCATTAGTCAAAATTTTATTCCCTTTCTTGTCTGCTGTGATCTCAATCCTGCACTAATTCAACACTAATCAACCAGAGTCAATGACTAAAACTGCTGTTGTGTAGATATCATCATTAACATACAAACTCTGGTTGTTTCGCCAGGGCAAGATGAACTAACAGACCCTTGAGCCAGGGACCACCTGGCCAGGAAAATCATAAACCAGAGATATCCTGACTCCTGAATTAAAAAGTGTCACAGAAATGTCAAGAGATGATTAATCTAAGCCTCTTTGTTCTTCTCCTTAAAAAAACCAACCAACCAACCAACCAAGCGAAAAAACTAACTCCAAGACCAAACTGGAGTGGAAATGAGGCTTATCGCCCACTCCCTTGCTTGGGGCAGGGCCCCACAACGAACACTCCTTTCCTTCACCACAACTCGGGTTGTCAGTATTATTGCCTTTGCTACCCATCAGGCACGTGGACTCGTTCGTTGGGTCCCATAGCACGAATTCAGAGCACTACACAATTTGGTTTTGATCCACTTTACCCTTCTAACCTACTTTCCTGTTACATACTGTACTATTCAGCCACACCAAATTACTATGTATTTCCAAACAGCAATTTCACTTGAACATACAAACATCCTCTTCACCCATGAAGCTGTAGTTCAGTGCAACCTGTCTCTTAAGTCTTTACCATCCCCCGGTAACCTTAATTATTTACTTTTTAGAGTCGCTGTAGCAATTATACATAACCACTGTAGATCATATTCTTAACGTCCAGCACAGTTCCTGGGGTACAATTTGAAGGAGTAAATACTTCTCTAAACATTGTATCTGTGTAACACAGGAGGTCAAATTTTTGGATCATATTCTTAGAGATCTTTTCTTTCTTCGTAGGACTCAACAACTTGATACGCTGTGGGTATTCAACTAATACTCATCAGAGCGTGAGGCCTACTCGGTATCTTCTGACTTTCGGGGCGAGTGCATCGATACTGCCTATGGAGGCGTTGCCTGGAAACTAGAAATTCTGGGTCCTTCCCCTCCCCAGCAGCTTGGTTCCTTCCAAAAGACTGGCCGAACCAGAACAGTGGCTCCAGCGGCCACTGGGCGGAAGACCGTTTATAAAGAAGATGAAAGGTTGGAGGAGGGCGAGGGGGTGGATAAAGAATGAGATGGGAAGAAGCATTTCAACTGCGGAGAGAACGGAGAATAACATCCTTCTCCTTCGCCCCCTTAGGGACCGACCTACCTACAGTACCTCTCCTCTGTTTCACCCGCGACTTCGCGTTCTTCACTTCTGGGTAGCGAACACGCTTCTTTCGTGCGAGTTACCTCTTCCGGGGTCTCTTAGACAACAAGTTCCGGATCAAGAACCGCGAAGAGAACAGTCATTCTTCCTTTCGCCCCGCCCACAGGTCCCTGACCTAGACCCGAGCTGAAATCCCGCGACAATCAGCGGAGGTGGCCAAAAGGAGAGGGGAACGCTTCTCTTTTGGAGGCAGTCTCCCAGGGTGGGGCGGGGGAAACGGACCGGAAGTGACGAAGGCGAGTTCCGGTTGGCCGGAGCCCAGCGGCGGGTGTGAGAGTGGGTCGGAAGCCGCTTCCAGGATCCGGAGATCCGGAGAAGCTGGAGTCAGAGCGGTAGGTAAGCGAGCGCGGGGATTTGGGGACGGACGCGCGAGACTATCCTCAGAGCTTGGCTTCTTCTGAAGCGCTCTCACTTAGACGGTGCAGATCTGGGGCACCGTGATTTCGACTTCAAGCAGTGTTTTAGGGCGCTGCTGACTGTCTCAGTCTGGCAGGAACCAGGTTATTTTGGGACGCCTCCCGGTGGTTGGCTACCGGCACATTGAACCCATGCACTGGACTCCCAGCCTCTCATCGCCGCGGACTTGCAAGCCGTTCTAAGCTTCTATAGAATACCCGTCTCCTCTTCCTCCTCGGGTGTCTAGGACCTTGGAATAAATGAAGAAAGATCTTCCCTGCTGATGACCAAGCTGTTTCTCAGGGTCGGTCAGTTGCTCTCCCCAAACACTAACGCATCCATTTCTAAACAGAATTCAGAGGTTCAAGTGCCACTTAAAACGTTGGTGACCAATGGAATGGGGCCTTGGCTCCGTAGATCTCTTGCAGATGACCTGAAGATTATCGCCCGCTATTTTCATGAAGAATAGCGTTCTCTGCCTTTTCCAAACCCCTGACCCACTGACCTTTTTATTTCATTACAGTGGAGACATTTGCAATAAAACGTGAAGGTTGTCTTAATCTCTAAACTTCCAAGAAGCCATATGTGACCCAGTGTCACGCTGCTAAGATTTATGACCTAAATTTTACACTATTACCTTTTGTTTTTCTGCAAATTCCTGCAGAAATCTCATAATACATAGGCTCTGGCACTGTTTTCCTGTCTTGACAACATAGCTCCTTTTCCTAACTTTGATACCTTTCCATTCTCTTTTTGGGGCTCTTCAGAAATTTTGTAGACACATTCCACTGATCCTTCGGAGAAGTTTGTACAAGTATTTCTAATGTAATGATAGAAAATTTAATGTTCTAACTGCTACTACCTGTTAATTGTATTATCATCAGCTCTGATTTTTGTTGTGTATTCTTAGCATAAATGATGATAGTAAGAAACTTACCTTCTAGGCAACATTTTATGCATTCTGGATTACAGTTTTATTGACCTTTGGAAGAGGTGGTGGTACTCACCCAGACAAATGTGGCTGATTTGTATAGGTGTGAAATGACTCTACAGAAGAAATCTTTTATATTTTACTTTGTCTATATTATTTTAAAACACTGAAGCATTTTTTCCCTTTGAGGTATATATCCTGCTTGGTTAATACAGTTTAATTCCTGTGATTCATGTTCCAGAATAACCAAGTTTCTGAAATTCTTCAATAAATGATTTAATGCCTTTTAGCAATTTAATGCCTTATAGCTACTTTAATTTACATATTATTTTTGACTTAGAAATTTTTTTCACGTTTGTCTTTGAAATGAAGTGACAAAATTTTTTGAGATGTGGAATTATATAAATTAGAATCATTAGTTTTAACATCTGATAAATTTATTTCTTGACTTTATAACTGCCAAACTTGGTCTTATATTCTTTTTATTCAGTTCAGTTATCTAGGGACCAATTGTCCAGATTTTCTCACTTTCCAACTTCTTCCTGACTTTGACTTGATTACCGCTTTTTATGATTGCAAAGATTATTTAACTTTAAATCAGAAAACCTGGATTGAAGTCTGGGCTCCAGCACTTGTCAGCACTGACTGTATGTTGACAAGTTACCTAATTTTCTCAGCTGATCTGGATTGTGTTGATTAAAATATTGCTCACTTCATAAGACTACACAATGAATAAGTGAGATAGTAAATGTGAAATCACTACATAAATGAAAATATGGTGATATTGTCATTGTACGCTGAAAGCAGGAAATATATCAGTGCAGAATACTGTTACTTTGCATCATTTCAAAATTTGATTTTGTTTAATACTAAATGGGTTATTGATCAGAAAATATTGTCACACACTTTTCTGAGATGATCTTTGTCCTACTTTCGAACACAATAAAAGCTAGCCAGGAGTAGTTTGAAACTGTAATCAATTGAATTAGTCACCTTGGTTAATAAGTAGGTGGCTGGAAAATGAGTATAGTTTTGCATCTGGGAGTTTAAATTTGATCTCTTTGGCCATCGTGTATTGTCACTCAAGAATTTCAAAGTGCAGAGGGAGTTGAAGTTTTGGGTGCTTACCTGTAGTTAACTAAAGCCCTATTTATGTATATATGCTTATATTAAGAAACTTTGTCATTCTTCTGAAAGCAGAATTTAAAATTAGAAGCTCCCTCTGTGAACACATAGATTCTTCTCATTTAACAGAGGAGAAAATTAGGGCCCAGAAACAATCAGTAATTGGCTTGCCTGAAGTCATATGGCTTAGGTAGTGCCAGAACCTGAACTGGAAATGAGGTCCCAAGTGTGCTTTCTTTCTGCTTAGGTTGTCTCCGGGTATCTTTATTTGGTTTGGTAATACTTCCTGATTTGCATGAAAATGGTTTCTTATGTATTAAAGGGATCTACATGTGTGTACGTATTTTTCCCTTTTTAGCTGATTTAGTTGTATGAGTTCTAGGAAAACAAAAACTATGCTTGGCAGGATTTGCAGTGGAATGGAATAAGGAAAGAAAAAAATTAGTTCTATTCAGAACAGTTGCTCTGAGTTTATGCTTCATTACTATCAGGTATCAAGGTGTCTTCTTTCTAGCAAGTGGAAAAGACAGGATCTTTGTAACACATGGCTCTACTGAGTGAGTGTTGTTGATGAAAAGAAAGCTGTGTTATTTCTTTGCTTCTGATAAAAAAAATTTCCTCAAGCTGTTTGTAATTTTCGTAGAATTATTTCACTCTGGGTAAATAGCCACTGTAAAAGAGTTATTTTTTTGTCTTGTTGGGAATCCTTTTGCTTCCACTGATTTCACAAAACTTGTTTAGTCTCTTCCCTTTCTTGGAGATTATAGTGCCAGGTGTTTATTATTACTGTTGTTTTGCCTAAAAGTGCTCGTTGTTGGTGTTTCTCTCTCTTTGGTATGGAAATAAACTCCAGATTAGAGAATTCTTTGTAACCTCAGGAACAGATTGGATGAACTGAAACGGAAATTGATAACTTGCTTGTTGTTGTGTTAGTTAATCTGTTTTCAGATTTGCAAATATTTTGGGCAGTAAGCTTTTAAAGTATTTATTGCTTCAAGAAACTCCTTTTTTGTCTAAGAAAGCAACTTTGTATGAGTTTACTTAACTGCTATTATGTATCATGTTAAACCCTTAAGTAAAACTCATTTCAAAATTATATGTTCCTGAAAGGTTTTGGAAATTTGAACAAGATGTACTTTCTGTGTCAGATAAAAGATGATACTTAAAGTTTGAGGCATTTTTAAATTAAGCAAGGGCAGTCCATTGAGTAATCCTATCCCAGCTGGTCTAACTGTAAAGAGTTTGTCAATATTCTAGAAATACAATCTTCAGTAGGTTATTGTGGTTTTTTCTCTTGTTCTTGAGGTTCATTAATAATAATCTGAGTCTTTATAGATTTTCCTGGAAGGACTAGGTAGATAGCGTTAAGAGCCTGAGCTATGAATTTAGATTTCCTTGGTTCAAATTCCAAATTTACTGCTGTGCAACCCTTGGGCTAGTTATTTAATTTTTTGCTATCTCAGTTTCTTCCTAGCTGTTGAAGTCAGTACATGCCTTTATTGTTAGGGGTGAATGAATACATTTAAGTAAAGCATTTAGAACAGTGCCTGGCATGTAGTTAACTATGATTGTTACATCATCATTATCTTGTGGCTTACCAAGCAGTTGCTAAGAACTCTTTCTCAACCCTCTTTTGAAAGCATATCTTTGTGTCTCTTTTTACTTGATTATTATTTGCTCATTATTAATATAGTTTCAGTAAATAAATAAATATATATTTCATTTTGGGAATATTTTACAACATATGCAGGATTCTTTACCAAATGTGTCCTTTTTGTAGGCCATTACCTCAACCTTTTTGCGTTACTATTAACAGTTTATACGATATTTGTTAGGCCATACCACAGAGTTTCGGAATTGCAATTTGGAGATTTGATTTTTAATGATGTCTTCTAGCACTTACTTTCTTTGCATGAGAAGATCATTTTGCAGTGATATCTATTGCCTTGTCTATCTGTTCAGTCATCCAGTCAGTGAACAAACATCTAGTGTCTTGAGCCTTTTACCAGGTTCTGGGGAAAACAGTGGGAAACAAAGGCCAATAGATATTTTAGTTAGGAGCCTGATAGAGGAAAAAAATACAAAAAATGAAAGACTAAGCACTGTGTAATAAATGTTATGAAGGAAACAGGCAAGGGTCTGAGAGAGTTAGTGTGGATATGTGCCTGTTTAAGACGCTAGCACAGTATACCTAGAATATAGAACATGAGATGATGTAGGAAACAGCCATAGTCCAGGTTACATAGAGCTTTGCAGTCCATGCAAATGAATTTGGATTTGATTTTGAGTATAATAGGAAATCATTCTACAGTTTGAAATAGGAGAGTAATATGATTTATAAGAAGTTTACTCTTGCTCATTTGTGAAGGATGAATTGAAGGGAACAAGAGTAGAAATGGAGAGAGGTTAGGAGTCCATTGGAGTAGTCCAAGTGAGAGATGAAAATAGCCTGGACCAGAGTAGTGGCAAAAAAGTGGAGAGCAGTGGGTGGATACTAAATCTATCTGGAATAGGACTTGGTCCTGGGTTAGATGTGAGGAGTAAGGAAATGAGAAGAGTCAAGGATGACTGCTTCTGCATTTAGTAACTGGGTGGATGGTTGTACCAAGTACTGGAAGAGGGAAGTTTTGAGAAGGACCAGGTTTGTTACAAGAAGGGGGCTAGGGAAGGAAAAGAAAGTACATGTTAAATTTGAGATGCTTAGAAATTAATTATCCGAGTGCTGCTATTTGGTATACACATCTAGAGGTCAGGACCAGAAGTACAAATTCGGAGTAGTATTTTAAACTGTGGAGCCACGTAAGTTACTTGGGGAGACAGGGAAGAGCAGAGGGCCCAGGTCAGGTAAAATAGAGAACTGGCAACGGTGACTAAGGAATGTTTG